ATTGTAGCGTAAAACTTCGTAAAAAAATTAAGTAAAAAAAATGTAAGCCGTTTATCTTTTTGTAAAGTAGCTTTTTGAGTATGTATAAACTTTTTATGTTGGACTAAACATAAATGTTGCTTAAAAAGTCATCTATCCGTGCGTGTGAATGTACATACAATATGATATTAAATATCCAGAGGAGAAAAACGCTGTAAATTCAGCTGACAGCCACGTGTATCAGCTGTTTCCAGTTGCGGTATACAACACAGCTGTTTTACTTAGGAAGGGACAGCCAATCAAAATATACATCAGACTGCCAATCAGAAACTCGGATGTCAATAGGCACATTCAGTGGATACAACAGTTGAGTGAGCGTTTGCTATTATTGGTGTATTCTTTTAGATCATCCAATCAAAATTGTAGATCTAGGAGAATACATCAAAAGCAACGAGTGTTCACTCAACTGTTAAATCCACTTGTTTCTCTTAAATAGGAACGGACTATGAATATCGTCCCTAGTGTTCTAGTGCAGTCTAGTGCAGAAATAAAAAGCAGACTTCATACTTTGTATATATATCATTACAAAACATGATGTGTTTTAAGCAGTTATAAGTGGCATAAGTGCGTCGTATCGTTTTTGTTTTATTACATAATTATAGGAAATAAACAGCGTAAAGATTGAGGCTCTCACAACGGCTTCGTCATCCGCTTTCAAAGCGTACCTGACTTGCGGGCTCGCCCGCTGGGCTCTTTCAGCCCAAGAAAGCAGAGAAATGTCAATGCGGACAGTGGTTCATCGTCTCGTGCAAAATGGTCGCATCGCATTGCGCTCATTACGGAATAACGAGCGCTTCCATTCGAAAAGATATACGGATAAACATCTCGACAAGATACACGGTGCACAGATAGGTAAATTATGCCTGACTTTGTCCGGCAAGAAATTTTCCCATGAACTTTGATGATATTGTAACACGAATATATATAATGGCATTCTAAAATATATTTCTATGATGTATCAATATTTATATTTTACATTTTTAAATGATTCCATTGAATTAATTACCTATAAATAGAGCTGTCAGCTGTAATCTTTTAAGAGTACATGTATTCTTTTTAAGATC